AGAGTTTCAGGCAAATTCAGGCTGCCTCCATGTGACTGATACTCACATCACATGGCTATTGTTGACAGGATTAATTGTGAATAACAATTGTCCCCCACCTCACTATTACCTATGAACGGTCATAGTGAGGTGGGGGACAATTGTTATTCACAATTAATCCACAGTTGCTATCGTACGAGTCACATGGAGGCAGGGCTTAAAAGCCTGAATTTAGCCTGAAACTCTCAGACCGAAGAAGTCTCTTGGAGGAGAGACGAAACATTCCATTAGAGAAGAACCCGTCCAGAAGACCTACACAATTTTTTTCTTTTTAAAGGCTGAACATTTCTTGAAGGGATACATATTGTCTTCCATCTTTCATGACAAATTTATGGTTGTTCTGGTTCTTGGAAATAACTATTGGAAATGAAAATTGAAATATACTGCAAGGTCCTGTGTGATCTGTTAGCACTAGGATTAATGTTGTATTCCGCTCGCCTCTAAGGTCTGAATGGGAATGACAAGAGTAAAACTATTTTCCATATTGTCACNCAAGCTATATAGCCTTTGATTAGTCATCCGATTGGTCACAGGTGTGACTCTGTTGGTATTACAGCTCGAACAGCGCATGCACGAAGGGAACATTCAGTGCTTTTAGCACCGCCCTCTGGCAGTCATTCAGAATTCATAGAACCGTAGTACATATGTAACTTTCATTTTAGAAAACAAAAAATGGGATGCAATTTATGGAGGCCTATTTCTGCCACTGAAAGAAAATAAAACATATCTCATAAATACTGTATTCTTGTATAAATGACTTGTTTTCAGCAGAGTGGCAGAGAAGGGCTTCCATAACTATGTAATGAACAACCTATCTTATTAACTAAAGTCCTGTTCTTGTCACAGTCCAATATGCAGCTCCTCATTACCTCTAAGAAAATCAAATGGGCCCTTTAGGACATCAAAGAGGATAAAGAACAGCTTTGTAAAACTACTACAAGAACTGGGTATGGAAAATTCTAAAGTATGGGTAGCCTTGCTTGTTTATAGGAAGAGTAACAGCATACACACCAACTGATCAATGCACACACTATCAGAGCTGACATAGAAAGAGATGGTGATGAAAGACAGTCCTTTAAAGAACCAATATGCACACAGAAATGTATGGCCATGAACACAGAGAACATCAGAACATATCTTCAAATGCACATACAGGCCTGTGGTGCAATCTTCACTAACTGGTCCTTCACAAAATCCGATACGTGCCACTGGTGGTACTCAGGATCC